ATTTTTGACGAGATACGAGCCTCTAATTTGCCAAATCGGTCAACTCCACGAAACAAATATTAGAGAAGATTAATGAAATTATATATGTACATCAAATATAAACATTAATACCAATACTTTTTATACCGTTTCATTAAAAAATTACTCAGCTAAATTCTTGTAAGTGTTTGAATTACAATTTATTTTAGAGTATTAAGTTAATCACATTGGCTTTTGAAATAAATTATTTATTATTCAACAGCCTCAAAAATTTTTGTCATTTAGCGGTGTTAAGCCTAATTATTGAGGAAATTTATTTTAAATATAAAAAGATAAATATAAATTAAGTACTTTGGAACTAAAATTTTAAGAAAATTCCGAAAGCGGAGTAAACCACTTTGACCTGCAAACGGCTCACATATTACTCAAGAAGCTGTTAAAGGATTAGGTTTTACACAAACATATGCGTGCATGGCAACCGTGTCTATCCAGAAACAGGAAACGAGACGAGAAATACAAAATAAGTAACTATCATCTTGAACTATTTGCGATCATGTTCAAGACCGCTTCTATGTATTCGATGGTCTACGTTCTAGCACGATCGAAATGTCGAACGGTGAAACTACGCGAAATAATCAAGTGGAGCCTGGAAATCGTGTCTTGCGTGTTACCAGCAGGAACGTATTCCAAGGTCCATTCGACTATGCATTTTATGCGGCATAAAATATTTTAAAATCGAACGTTTTAAGCAACAATTCATATAAAATTTTAATACTTTTTTTTTTGGCGAAACAAATGCATAATAATCGATGTTAATTTAATCATAAGATATTCGCCGTAAGAAAAAGAGCAAAATTTTGTATTGAAAAATTGATATTCTTTGTAAAGAAAAATAAATCACAACTGGAGATAAGTTAAACACAAAAACAAGTGTCCAATGTGAACTTCGAAACTTACACGTCAGATATTTATACATACCGATATTATAAAATATTTTTATCGATTTGCATATCGATGAATTTTAAATAAACGCGCCTTACATTTTGAGAACAAGTACAATTTAGGTTATGTTACTTCTTTACCAATTTTCCAAAGAACATTAATAGGTGAATGATGATCCATCGCTATTTTCTAAACAGTTCGATTAATGGAAATAGGAAAACGTAAGACTAGCAATGACAAGTTAGTTAAATGTTCTTAATTGTAATTATTTCTAAAAAAAAAATTTCCCTTTTTGCAGTTTCGATATTTTTTTTTTTTTTTTGTATAGACTTAAAGCTATTCCTCAAATAAGACAAACACTACAATTATTTACTTACATTAACTTCGAAACAGTTACCGAAACAGTTATCAAAACAGTTTTAATATTCGATACGAAAATCTTTTACAAAAAACTTATCAAACTTTAAAGAAAAAACTGCGAGAAGCGCCCCCCTCTTCCTTCATATCTTAAATGTCGCATTTCCAAGAGAAAATTTCGCTACCTTTTACACGCTACGATTATTCCGAATATTATATTCAACTTCATCAGTAAAATTCGATGACATTAAACGGTCTTTGAATAATTAGCACCCGAAGAACCGATCTCATCCACCTGTGAGTGTGTGTTACATTATAGATAGCAGTTGATTCAAATGAAATTCACATGAAAGGCTCGTTCGATTATTAAGAGATAAAAGTGTCTAACGGGTGATTGACTCGATAATAATATCGAGTGCAATTCCTGCGAATTGGTCACCCTTCGGTTTTATTCCCCTGTATCCAGAAAAAATCGATACCACCCTCTTTATTTATATCCTAGACTCTTTTGCGACAGAGACGTATAGCTGGCGAACTCAATACCGAATTAAAAAAAAAACACACAAAAAAAAATGAAAACGGAGAAGTGGAGAAGGGAGAACGAGATTAATGTGAATAATTATAAAAATGTCTTATCTTTTAACGCTTCTAGATTTTCCTCGTTCACTATCTTTCTCTTTCTCTATCTCTCTCTCTCTCTCTCTCTCTCTCTACCAAAAAGTTCAACCGTGTGTCTAGACGCTGTTGACATTCACGACCGCCTTATTACTTTAGCATCGCTGATGCAAGACCACGGCGCCAAGTTTGTTCTCGTATACACGGGAACGAGCACGCGCATGCGCTGACGAACGCAACGAACCATTCTATAGCTTCGCACGCATAGATTTCATGCCTCGACACTACATGCAAACATTGTCTGCAATTCATTTACATGCTCGTACAATGTTTGTGCCGTTGTCACATGAATAGCTATTCGCAACGACACATTTTGCGTGACTCCTCGCTCGAAATACATTATTAGAAGATAGCTTATTTGAATTGAAAATAATCGATACTTTGCCAAATATATCGTGCTGCACGAATTTATCGAAATAGAAATTCTTCACCTTTCTTTCTTGTCGTTCGATTCATCAACATCCGTTGACAACTTTCCCTGAGAAATATACTGAATAATAACGTCAAATGAAACAATAGGCTAAAAATATGCCGCTTTTAGAGAATGCATGTATGTATATGTTCCAAACAATTAAATGAAAAAATTGTTTTTTTGAAGGTTATGTGAATTATAAATTTTCTTTATATGATATTATCGTTCTAACTGGGTAATTATTATTCATATGCCAATTATAAGTGTAATTAAAAAACGTGAAGGCATGTTATGTAAAATAATTACAAAATTTGATACCAATAGTCATATTTAAAAAATGAATAAGGTGTTAAAGAAAAAAATAAAGAGTAAATGTTTTAATATCGTAGAATGTTGACCGAATCTTGATTTGATATTGTAAAAATACCTCTCAAATTAATAGTTTGAATTGCGTTAAATGTTAAAAAATTATTCTCAGTTATTTTGAATAATGTATGAACTACTACCGCATCCTTAACATAACCTTAATGTTACACTAACGTTCCAATTGAATTTGTGCAGGCGTCATATGGGACGCATTTTTGTTGACATAATCTTTCGAGGGATTGACAATGAGACGTAAACGATTCCATAACAGAAGTATACCTAACGTTAACCTATATTAAAAACGTGTATGATAATGAGTATGATGACTTCTTTTTTAATAATCCCCTGCATTTAAAACAGCACAAAAAATAGAATATTCATAATTCCTTGCTCAGATCCCTACCGCTATCTTGCGTAATTAATGCTGCATATTGATGCAATGATTTCGTACAAATAATTCTTATGAAACAAACAGTACGAAAATCTAGGTGATAAACAATGAACTGTAAGATAAGAGAAATAAAGATTATCATCTACAATTCCCTGTTCGAATAAAATCCAGATACTTTAAAACATTAATAACCTCATTATTTAACATCTTTAATTTGTATCAAAATATTTGTGTCGACTGGAACAAAACCGTCAAGAATGCAATACATATTTCACTAAAATGCAATTACTTTCATTAGAATTTCTTATGAATTAATTATTAGCATTTCCGAAATCGAGGTAACCGTGTTAGAATTTCTTTCGAGACGTTTACATGAAATCTAGTAAGAACCGTTGCCAAAACGCGCACCAAATATTCCCGTACGCTTTGATATACACAAGAACGCTTTCTTCGGCGCAACAGATATATAAACCCAATTCGTCTCGTACGTCTATTCTTACGTTCATAAGGTTATTTACACTCAGTGCCTGACACCATTTTGGTAGCAGGGTACAGTACTCGGGCCAAACGAGGCTACTTGTTCGCTAAAGCGGGTAAAAGCGTCACGGAAGAATCGTAGCGGCACAATTGTTTACAACGCGGTTTACCTGGACAGGATGTTAACTGAGAAGTTACCATTGATGCGGAATGTACGGTGGTCTAGAAGAGATCGTGAAATTCCAATTAGGCCTGAGTCGGTACAAAAGAACCTTTTCGAAAGATCCTTATCATAGACGAATATTCGTTCGCGCGAAAATGCACGCGACGAGATAACGGTAAAGAGTACGATGCACGTTTCTCGAGTTTCGAAAACCGCGAAACAGTAGCGGCATTGCCACGCGATATCGCGTAACGAAAAAAAACACACTACACTGACTAGTATACCACGTAATACACCAAATAATTCTAATGACAGGACACACTTGAGCTTCACACACACACACACGAAAAAACCTTGTTCATCTTATACACGAATTTCATATTTTCATTGGCAGTGGTTTAATAGGCATAATTTACATCCGTAAACCCTTGAAAGTATAGTTACACGAAGAACGTCGCGATAAATCCAGCGAATTTCTCGAAAATAATGTCGACAACTTACCGATTTTACTCGATTATTTGACCAACGATAATACATTTGACACATCCAACACACTACACTTTATATATTTGCGAAACTTGCACCGTCAACTCACGAACGATTAGTAGCGATGATTAATAATTAAGAAAACTACGATGAAAACGACACCAACTGCTCGAAAGACCGTAAGGAACTGGCCAGTGGCCGCGACCCCACCACGCTGGACACCGTCGTCGAGGATGCCAACAAATGTAAACATCGCTACAGCTGATCGTCGTGACATATATACATGTGTACGTGAGTAAGTACGTATTTTAGTGGTTGCCGCCTCCGCTGTGTCTAATCCCAGCTGCACGTGCGTATCATACTACCATCATGTTACGATATATGTAGGTAAAGTAAATTTATATATGTATATTTTCAATTTCAAGCTTATCTGTGATAAAAAAATACATATGTACATATATGCCATAAGCCTAACATGTGCACACTAAAGTTTCTTCTTTAATTGAACTAGTTGGAAACATAGTTCATTATACTGTTTGCTTTACAATCGAAATTCGGAAGATAGAAACGACATGTTCGTTTTATACACATAAATCTAAACACGATGTACATATATGCTTTATTCGATAAATATTTGAATATATCCAATTTATTAAATTGAAGTTAATAATTGAAAAAGTAAGTTACACTTACATAACTTTAAGTAATAATAAAAACTATTAATTATTACAATAATAACGTAAGAATAATAAACATTACGTATATAGATGGTATATTATAAATCGTTTGTTTTATTTCTAAAAGACATCCCATATATTCTTATCCTGTTATTACTTAAATGAGTAATTTATACATTTGCACAATTTAAAAAATTATAAATATTTCTTAAATTATATCT